ATTCTCTTTACAATAAGAGGTATGTATGTGTTAGGGCACATATAAGCTTGCAGGATTAGTGGGAAGAGGGGTCTTCTGCAGCATTGACAAACAGGGCCTAAACAGCGCCATCCTTCAGACCTGTTCTACAGCATTTTCCGCACTTGAACTCATGCATTACAGCCTTCAATATAATCTCTATGCCACAGCTACCAACCTCACATTGTCACCTGTTTATAAATCATATGTTCATTTCAAGAGGATGAATTCAGTACCGTCTTAGAGGAAAACATATCTCTTAAGTATTTGTTCAGGAAATACAGGGTTTGCTCAAATGGGGCCTTTATTCTAAAGGGATCAAAATTTCTAAGTTAAAAGGTGATGTTTTATGATTATGAACTTTGTGAAAACTTGAAAATATTTATCAGATTTATGTCCCAGGATTCCTCACAAGGCTACATCACAATATTTTTAGAATATTTTTTCTTTCAAACAAACTATTCAGTGTCAAAACCACTAGGACTGAAAGTGTCACTTTAAGTATGAAGAGAATAAAACTGGGAGTGTTTGAGTGAAGTATCTGTCTTAAAAGCAGACTGTTGAAGTTGGTAGAAGAGATGGGCCTTAAGAACTGTTCCTATTTTGAAGTCGAGGAAACTGAAGATTTTAAAGAGGATACTGTATGATCAAGATCTCAAAAGAGAACTGAAATGCAGGGTCTACAAAAGTCTTTCATGTTTAATGTTCTTGGTTTTAGAATGGAGCTGAGTTTATATGTGGCTAGGCAAACAACAGCACAACTGATGAGAGGCTTTCGACAGGCAAGAGACTATTAAAAGGTGCCTAAAAACTAGGAGCAGCTAGGTAACTCATTCATTCCTGCTCCCCTCTATTTTCCTGCCTCTCTGTCCTGTTCCCATCAGTAGAGTCTAAAGCAGCACTATACAGCCAGAACTCTAAAACTGTCTACACATCCAAAGTGCTTTCCTATTTCTGTAATGTTGTCCACACCAAGCCATGGTTTTCTATTCCTGGCTGCTGCTCCACCATGAGCACAAGCAAGACAAACACGTGTTTCATTTTGAAGTATCATTATATCAGAATTTCCAATAAGGTTTCACTCATGTTATGAGGGAGTTTTCAATATGGGAGGAGTTGATTGTACTAGTAGAATGCCAGAGTCCCCCCAGACAGCCATAAATAGCCAAATAGCAGAACTCAGGGAGTAGACCCCGACTGTAGCTATGCATAGGTTGCCAACGTGCAGCCTAGGTTTCCGCAGCCTATGAATTTTCTGTATTGCAAGGTTATTTGAAGAAAAGCTATGTAGAACATTATATACCTTGAATTAACCACTTTTAATAGAGAACTGCAGAGCTATTCAGTATTCTGTGAAGTATAAGAAAAAGCATACTTCAAGTATCCTAACTTTCTGCTGTAACTTGTGTTCTGCTTTGGGTTTTGTTTAATTGATTTTGATTGAATCAGCTCGTAAAATAACTTCATTAGATTCCTCTAGCTTTCTTATTAAACAGCAGGAAGCTATTGTATTCCAATGTGCATGACGAGCAGTCTCCATGATCCCTACCCCACTCCCCAGATAAATAGTACCACTGACAAGACAAAGCATTCCACACACCCTAGCACTGTGTATGTCAGGCCTGGGAGTGGGGCAGCAACCATCCCAACAGGAAGTGACATGTGCTCATGGGGTGCAAGCACCACTGAAACCTACCCCATTCACAGTGATTCATAACCACACGCTCATGAAACCTTCCTCACTGGATGTATTTTCCCCACAAGAGCAAAAGGGAGTGACTTGAAAAGGAAGGAGGGAGCAGGGGGAGACAAAAGGTTTGGAAAGAAAGAAGCCAGGGGCATGGAGAAAGGAGGGACATCTCACCATTTTGACTGACATTGTTTTAACCACATCTCTTTAATTAAGTGAAAAAAAGAAAAAACAACCTTCTTTTGTGCCTATAGTGCTTTGATTTACAAGTATGTCTTTCTAATCTCATAATGTTAATTAAAGTTAAAATGATCTTGCTTCTTACTGTTTGAAAACCGAATACATAAAAAAGCATACAGGTTATTTACTTATATTCAGGTCTGTCCTCTCTTTAGAGTTAAGAGTTCATCAACATTATGAAAAATGCCTAACTGATGTTTTCACAAAACACCTTCACAACATTAACAAATGCTATTACTGTATCATTCTAAAATGAAAACAACTTAGAACCATAAATTTTACATGAATAAAGTTGATTTTTTTTAATATTTTTTTTTGTTTTACATACAAGGAAAATAAAACTGAGGTCATGCTTTTCTAAATAAATGGCTATTACAACATAAACCATTCTAATGATTTTTTTTTTTTTACAATTAGGAGATCAATTTGAAATTTTGCATCAAACTTATTAGTAAACATGTAGTAAACATGTAGATCATATGGTCCATAGTTTATCATTACTCAATTGATTATTTCCTGCTTCTTACATTGCCCCTTGAAGTCTTATGAGAAAGCAAGTGATTCATGTGACATTAATGACTCTACATAAAATAGGGGTATATGTTGTACACCATAATAATTTGAATATGGAATTCACAAAGTAAGGTAGGGTGTTTTTCTGTATTTTTATTGTTAAAAAAATAAACTGAATAAAATTTAAAATAGTTTTCTTCACAATAGTGTTGAATGCATTTCTTAGTAAAACTGACTCCGTATTTAATATATTTAAAAATAAATATTTGATAAGTGTATCCACAATGTTCCTAAGAAATGGCTTAGAATTCCAGAGTCCCAAGGAGATGAATTGGCTCTCAGATAACAATGCGCTTCCATCAGACAGACTTGGCAGTTGTAAACAAATGGAATTTTCTCAGCTTTTCCTCACAAATATGAAATATTTGCTCTCAGCCAACAGCTGGGGTAATTTAAAGGAGTCTTGCATATATATTAGTTTCCATTCAAAATTACAAACCCTCCTCCCACTTTGCAACATCTGACTTAGTCTTTGTAGAACAGAAAATTGTTCTGAGATGAAGTGACATTCCCAGAGGAAGTCAAAGTTAAAAAAAATAGTATCCACTTACAACTCTAATCAAATTTCAGATTATATGCCATCTTTGGATTTCTAGGAAGAACTAATCTATTTAAGATGAAAGTGAAATTGAAATTCTGAGGTGGCTTTAAAATTTTTGAAAAGGTGTAAATTGTTCTTCTGTTCCTAAAGATTTAAAATCACAACACAAGTGAATGTGAGCTGCAGAAAGTGCCCTGGGGAATACTGTGATTTAAACATTGTTTCAGAACCAAGTTGCAGTCTATCCCCGGTATGACACCTTAACAAAACTGCTAGTGTTCCAACTACCACTTAGTTAGCGATACATTAAAAATATATGGTGTAAAATATATTTGTGAGTTACTCACTAAGACATATCAGCTATAGACAAACATCTATGAAGTATTTGAAAAATAAATACTTTTGCAGTACTTTTATATATTCAAGGTAGGTTATGGATAGAAGAACCTATATTTAGTTGGTATGAGCTAAACTAAACATGTAACTTGCTTTTATTTCTTCAAAAAGTACCTCAGTGTGGCTAAACCAATTTATATATTATTCCACAGTGACATTCGCTATATTATAATATTTGTAGTGGACAGACTTTTATAGTAAAATAAATATCCATGCTTTACTTGGGGTAATAAAAACACAGCCTGTATATATCACAAAATTAAAAGCCAATTTTCTACTTCTAGAGAATGACTGAAAATTAACTTTGCTCTTGGGCCCACTGAATATGAATAAATGCTATGCCAAAAAAGTAACATATTTAGATAGAAGTATCAACTATATTTTTATTAAAGTGATTATTAAAGCAGGCATGAAAATTTATTAAAATAATTATTAGTGCTTTTGATACAGTTTTTGCGTGCCCTAAAAATGAAACATACTGAACTTGAATAATAAAGACTTACAGGAGCCACTCAGGGAGGCAGAGACAGGTAGATCTCTGTGAGTTCGAGGCCAGACTGATCTATAAAGTGAGTCCAGAACAGTCAAGGCTACACAGAGAAACCCTGTCTTGAAAACAAAACAAAACAAAATAAAAAAAAAAACTTAAAAGATTTTAAAATCTATAATTTCTCTAGTTCAGATACAAATTTCATCGTGTGTGTGTGTGTGTGTGTGTGTGTGTGTGTGTGTGTGTGTTGTAAACACAATGACAGTCAGGTAATATATATATCCATGAGATTTGTGTGTCTAGGGCTAGAGGGATGGCTCAGAATTAAAAGCACTGGCTACTCTTGCAGAGGCCCTGAGTTCAATTCCAGCCAACCACATGGTGGCTCCTACACATCCATACTGACCACTGGTGCATGAAGGCATACATGCAAGCAGAACATTGTTTACATAATAAATAAATAAAGCTTAAAAATACCTTTAAAATAAAAATGATTTTCATGTCTAAAAACAATATTCTTTAAAGTGCAATATCTACACTTCATAAAAAACAAGCCAGTGGTACATGACAACACATCCTATCTTTATAATCTTTAGCTTATTTTTACCAGCAGTAATATTTTAGAAGCTATTATTAAACGATTAAACAGATTTGGGAGTAGCCATTTTTATCAATGTTCACTGTAAGTGTTAAATATTGGGGGAAAAAATTAAGTGCAAATAAAGTTTCCATAAAGTGTGAATAAAATTACCTGTAGTTCTTTCTGCATAAACCACAAGTAACAGATACAAATACATGTACCTATTCGAGTGCCAAAGCAATGATTACATGGGGAATGAGTATTTCAGGGAAGCCCTGAACTTCTACACCTTGACTCAAGTTCATGTTCTTTACCCAGGGACTCTGCTTTTACTTCAGAAAACCACTTATCTGTGCCCTTTCTTCTTAAACTTTGAAAGCTAATCCATGAAACTGAAGGCATAATTGTTGACATTCAAGTGGTTTTAAACATACAGACTTGTTGTCACGGGTTTGGAACTGAAAATACTCACAGTCTCTCCAGCTCCTTAAGGTCCTGGAATGCGCCTCTCTCGATGGTGCTGATCTTGTTCTCCATGAGCTGACTGAAATGCAAAACCCAACATTCTTCTTAACGTTGCCATCTGAGGAGGCTGTGCCTCAGCAGCTGCAAACTTGCAGCCCCTTTCTCACTTTCCGTATATTTTGCTCAGAACTGAGAGTCACTAGCAAATTCAGGAAGGAAGCAGGTGAGAGAACTCAGGGGAAGCAGCTTCTCTACCAGAGGCATTTATTTTAAAAAGTCTTAAAGAAGTTTCTCACAGCAGTTACTACTGAAAAGTAAAATTGGAACCTTAAACACCAAAATAAGTCAGTAGTGGGAACTGTTGCACTTGGCGGTTTTGAAAGCTGTTTTTCTCACACCAATTTTACCTGTGTCCCTAACTAAGGGATTCAGTAACTCAGCACATGCATAGTTTAATTCTAACTTATGGATGCACTTTTAGTCAATTGAAAAATGACATAAGGACCAAAATAAGGCCTCAAAAATAACATTTTATGGATAAGAGTGAAGAGGTCAATGGCTATAAATATTTACAAACTTGGAGGGTAACAATTTTACATAACATTGACTCTCAACTGATGGATAATTCAAAGCTAATGTAACCCACTAATTACTGCAATGATCATACTGCAACAATTTATACAAGTTATAAAGCTACAGAATGTAAGGAATGCAACTCAAAATGAAATCAATGTATTTGATATATAAACACCCCTCAAAAACTGCTGAAAAGATGGATTGCATGATTTCAGTGTTAATTTTTTTTTCTTTACTTTTTCTTTGTGGAAAAGAGTTCTGGACACTTTAGGTTCAGTAGTAAGAGAAAGCAATACACTAAAACATTCCAAACTAATTGAGATGTCCTCAACACATCCGATTTTTTCCAATATTTAAAAACAATGTTTCAACTTTTTTTTTAAAGTGCAAGGACTTTAGAGTAAAGCAATAATCTGAGGTTCTTTCTATCTTATTATCTGTATTACACATCCACTCTTAAAGAAACACATTTCATTAAAAGTTGTACAAGTGAAATCAAAACAAAACACACAACTTAAGATTTTTTTTTGTTCATTTGTTTTTGTTTGCTTGGTTTTTTTTAAAGGCTTCTGTCTTTAGAAAAGTTTTTAAACTACGAACATTTAGGAATTATAACCAAGTATGCCATCTTAAAAACAAAATGAAGACTCAGAGGAAGAACACACTTACAGAACCCTGAGGTGCCTGAGACCAGCAAAATCTGTCTTCGTGATCCTTGTGATGTTATTTCCATTCAAATCCCTAAGAGACAACCAAAAATTAAAGTTCCTTTTTTTATTTCTATCATATTTGAAAAAGTTAAAACATGTTAGAGCTTTAAATAAATTAATTCAATTAGTGTGGCTTAGAAAGCGAGCTGGAGAGAAAAGGGAAGAAGCCTTTGAAATAAAAGTTTATAAATGTCTCATGTTTACAAAACTTGCTGACATATGACAAGAAAATGAAGTGATGATGTCATCAATAACCGCGGCTTTTGTTGTGTGTTTGCAGCCTGTGTGTGTGTGAGTGCTTTCGATTTGGGTTTCCAGAAGAATGTGGGTACTTATTTACTGAGGCATTCTGCAATTTTGTTCTTATTTTTAGCACAGCCCCCAAGAAGTTTCTTTCAGGAAGTTTAATGGAAAAAAAAAAAGTTTCTCATACAATTCGGGGGATTTTTTTTTTTTTTTTTTTTTTTTTTTTTTTTTTTTTTTTTTTTTTTTAATTAGAACACTCTGGAAGTAGTAGTGTGGCCAAAACTCCTGAGGCAAAAGAAAGAGTTTGCAGGGGAGAGTGCAGCACCTCAAAGACCTTTCCTCCCCACAATTCGAGGTCCCTGGGGAAGCTGAACTCTTCATTGCAGCTCCTACCCCCCCCCCCATCCCCTACTGTGACTGTGCTTTAACCCACCAGTGGGGTCAATAATGAAAGTAGCATTTTGGCCTTGACACGTTTGTTCCATTTCAAACACCCGCCTTTGCTTCAGCCTCAACCTTCTCTTCTAGTCAACAAGTAAATTTGCACGGGCTTCATTCATTCACAATAAAACTAGCCTTTGAGGGGAGACTTCCCTGTGCTCCTTTCTGGAAGCTCACATGCTTTGGACTTCCAAACTTTGTGCAGAAATCTGTATTTAAGAGCGTTTACTTGGCTAACGATAGGATTTTAGAAACCAGCACTGAGTATGCGGTTTCCTGAAACCTCCACAGACGTCTCATAAAGGATTTTTTTCTTCATCCACTGGCACTGCACTGCCAGTTCTGGAAACCCAGTGCTTTGACAAGTTAGTATCTGCACTGTTCTGAAGGGCATGGGATGACAGGAGGAAATCAGCTTTCCTCACTGTGCTCCTTCCTCTCTCCCTCACCTACCTCTCCCAACTGTCTTTGAAGTTGTGAGGATCATTTGAGGGCTATCTGTGATCTCTTGCGATCCTGACCTTAACAGCACATAAATGCGTTAGATCAAGTCCCTGCAGTAAGGCCCAACTACCTAGGAAGCAAGGAAACAATCAGGGGAGAGGCCCAGTAGAGGTGGGGTTGACAAACCTTCCAACAAGAAGAAAGTCCTGGACTTGGGCCTTCAAACAGAGAAGGACGCCGGTTGGATAAGGGGGTGGGTGGCAAGGATTGGCCCTGATGACTCTGAGTGCCGAAATGCTGTCCTAGGCCCTTAGCTTCCCGACAGCTAAACGCAGTCCTAGCAAAGAACAGGAGTCTCTGCGCAATCGCCCACGCTACACTGGCCCAGGCATCGGTGCCTGCCCGGCTCCTTCGCAACCTAGAGAGCCCGGCGCATCCCGGGGGTGGGGGCGGACAAGTGGAGGAGGGCTCCGCTTCACAAAGAGAGTGGCCTCGGCGAGCCGCTTCCCTAACTCGGGAAGTGCTCCGCCGGGAGCGCGTGGGCCGTCACCGGCCGGCCTGCGTTTATTTCTTCATTAAAGACGAGCGCAGACAGGGAGGCGGGGACGTCTGCGGGCAGCGGAGCGCGGACAGGGGCAGGCGGAGCGGCTGCCGCCACGTGAAGGAGCTCACAGGCTGCCAGAAAGGTGCTCGAGGGCACAGAGCCGCAGCGGGAGAGCCGCAAGGGGCAGCCCGGGCCACAGGGTCACCGGGGCGGTTGGACCCGGAGCAGCGGGTTCCAGATGAAGAGGCAGTGCTAACTTTACTTCAACCCTGGGACGCAGTCCTCTCTGAAGTCTCCGGCTCACTGGAGTCACTTAAGGACCGCTACTGGGGCCGCCCCCTCCCTGTACACGAGAGGGGCTTTAGAAAGTCGCGGCAGGGAGGTGATGCCTTTGAGCCGACGGTTGCTGTCCTGGGGCATTCATCCTCCGCAGACAATGAAAAGATCCCCCTGGCGCCCCAACACTCCATCTCCCCTTCCTCAGTACTTAGAGGGGACACAAAGCCCGCGAGAGAAAGCTTCTGCCTCTCTCTCTCTCTCTCTCTCTCTCTCTCTCTCTCTCTCTCTCAGCAGCCTGCCAACCCTTCCGCCCAAGTCTGGGGCAACCAGGTCCTGAAATGACCCGTGAGTGTTCGCAACCCCAAGGTGACTCTTCGTTTTGCAGAGTCTGAGAAACACGGTCACGCCTCCCTTGCCCCGGGCATCCTTGGATTCTGGTCCTAAGCGCCTCTCCCTCCAACCAGAAAGAACTGGTCCACAGCGCTCAAGCAGTTGCGAGGGGCGAGAAGGGGTACCGGAAAAGGGGACCGAGCGCAGCTGCCAGCGACCCGCCCCTCCTTGGCAAAGGCTCCTCCCAGTTTAGTGACCTCCCGCCTTTCCAGAGGGCCCAGCCCCGGGGTGTGCGTGCTGGAGAGCCTCTGAGGGCTGCACCATGGCCAGGTTTCCTCCACACGTGGGCTCCCCTGGCCGTAAGCTCTCTCGGAGATGCGTTACCTCGGCGGGGGGTGAGGGAGAGTCGGGGAGGGCAAGGCGCCCATACTCACAGTCTCTCGGTGTTGCGGGGGATATTCCTGGGCACGCTGCGCAGGGCCAGCCCGTGACAGTCCACCGTGCTGCCTGAGCAGGAACACTGGGCCGGGCACGCCTGAGGCGCCACCTTGTTCAAGATCGACAACACTAACCCCAGCAACAGGAACAGTGCTTGCCAGCCAACGCCACTCATCTTCTCCAACAGGCTCTTCGCTTTGAGGGACTCCTCTTTCGCTCTCTGTGGCGTGAGAACCGGGCAGTGTCTGAGGCCCAGCGCCTGGTGCTGGGCTGGCAGCCCACAGTACTCGGGGAGCTGTGCGCACAGTAGGACGAAACCGTGGTATAAGGCAGGAGAGCTGATGGAAGCACACGCCTTTCCTCTGCTCTCCGCGCTTCCCTAGCAGAGCAGAAGATCCGTGGGCAACTTCGGGTCTTGAATATCAATAGGTCACGCTCAGGCTGCGAGCAGATCCCGAAGCCGCTGGGAGGGCAGAGCGCATCTTCAACTTGGCGGTAAAAGAGCTCCTGCTTACAGTGACCGCGGAGACGCGGTGGCCCTTTGCTTAAGGACCAGGGAGGACTTTTGATCCCACGTACCCTCCAGCGAATCCGATCCCGGTGGGAAGAGTACAAGGCTGAGAAGGGGTACTTGAACGGTAACGCTCGCCCTGATCAAAGTGGGTCCCCCGGAAGCTAGAAGGCGCAAGGGCCTGTCAGGTGTAAAGAGCCCTCGGAGAAGCTGGGCATGTCGCGCGCGGGGGCGCACCGGTGTTCACGTAGCCCCCGGGGGCGCTGCGGGGCGCAGGGCTTAGCTCACAGGGCCTCTCCACTCCTGCGCCGCGGCAGCAGCCCCAACACGTCTTCGCCGTCTCCCGACAGCCAAGGCTGGCTCGCACACACACACATGCACTTCACTGGAGGATATCTTGGCAATCCCGCCTCCCTCCCGGCGTCCTTGGCGACGCTCTGCACCAGGGCCTGCCCCTGAGGTCACACAGAGAGACAAAAGGGCAGTCGGACCGCTGCAGCCTTGCAGGGATATCCACTAGTCCGCAACCCCGCAGGAAAAAAGAAAAAAAAAAAAAATCCAGTAAACCAAGTTGAGTAGCAGAGCTCCTAGAAAGACTGAGTAGGTACTAGCTGGGGCTGGACTCGCAGACAGTCAAGCCAGGAGCAAAGCAAAGGCCAGGTGTCCGCGATGCCAGGGCTGCTACTGTGTCCTGATGGATGACTAGGTGGTAGGCGGGAGGATGGGATCTGGCAGCCCCTACACCCCAGGCGACCGCCCAACGGCAGGAGAGTGTGCGCGCTCTAGTCAGCCACTCTGGTCTCCGGGATACGCTGCAGCTCCGCCGCACACACCTGACGGCACAGGTAGAAGAAACAACAGTGATGTCCTTCCGTGCGCAGCCTCTCAGCCACCCCCTGGGCAGCCCCTACAAGTGGGTCCTCAACCTCAAAGTGCAGGAAGTTTCCCCAAGCGTTGGATCCGGTCTCCCACTGTCACCGAAGGAGTCCAGCCCCGGCCGTTGAGATGCCGCTTGGCCCCGGACTCTGCACCTGACTCGGCGACCGCAGTCCAGGCAGCGCTTGGCTTCCAGCCCTTTCCCTTCTCACGGAGGCTTTCGGAACCCGCCGTTCCCGGGAGGAAGGTGGAGGGAGAGGGAAGGCGGAGACTGAGCAGGGACTGGCGCTCCGGAGCCCCAGGCAAGTGTCTAAACAATAGGACGGACGCGGCAGCCCAAGTCTCGCCTGGCTGCTGGAAGGTGGGTTGTTGTAACTGGAGTTGTCCGCTCTGGCTGCTGGGCGCTGAGCGCAGCCAAACAAAAAGACCCCAGCCCGCGCCTCCGGAGTCGCCCGCGGGTCCCCGGGACGTTCCCCTTTCTCCTCAGTACTCTCGCAGCCCCCGGAGACCTCGGCAGCTCCGGCTTGCGCCCCGCAGCCTGGGAGCTTCCATCCCTCGCCGCCGCCGCCGCCGCCGCCGCCTCCTCCTCCTTTTTTTAACCACCGTCTGCGGCAGCCTCAGCCGCCGCCTCCTCCAACCTCCGCCGTCCAGGCGCTCCGCAAATAAATAAGCCCAAGTCCGAAGTTAAAGCGGCCGCCCCGGCTTTATATAGCAGCCGGAGCCCCCACCCTTGGCTCCGCCCCCGCGGCCCCGCCCCGCCCCCTGGCCGCGCGCGGAGAGCCCGCACCTCGCCCGGGAGAGGTGAGGCCCAGGCTGCCAGCGCCGGGTGGAGGCGGCGGCGGCGGCGGCGGCGGCGGCGGCGGTGGCGGCTGCGGCGCGCGTTCCCGTGCCCCCCTGCTCGCTCCGAGACTCCTAGGCTGGGGCAAAGTTTGCGTTAGAGGGAGGTTCCCGAGTCCCCTCCACGCAACTCCAGGGCCTCCCCCCCTACCCCCCCAAGAGGTGACCCGAGCCCGGAGACCGAGGTTCCCAGGGGGAGAACGAGCAGAGGGGCGGCTTTGAACGCAGCTCGTAAATAAAGGGAGACGGCAGCGCCTCTGCTGCAGCTTTTTGAGGAGGGATCCTAAAGGGGACCGCTCTGGGCTCTCAACGCTGCGAGACCGCGAGCCTGCGATTTTAAATTAAAACAAAAAACATTCTACTGAAATAGATCTGCCTGCGCGCGCGCGCATACACACACGGGCACACACTCTCTTTCTCTCTCTCTCTCTCTCTCTCTCTCTCTCTCTCTCACACACACACACACACACACATACACACAGGCACACACACACTCACACACGTGCATTTTGGGAAGCTTTAAAGTTCAGAGTTTTAGCAAGTTAGAAATAGTGCTTTTCAACCCTCTTGCTTCCCTTCCCACCCTAAGCCACCCTCTTCCGTTAACCCTTTCTTTATGGTCTCTTACTTGGAAACACCGCGCTAATGGGGTTGGATTGTGTATGCCCCTTCTCTTAGGAGGCAAAGCGAAGAGGAAATAAATCCTAGCAACACCCATTGTGCTAGAAGGCTGCCCCTTATTTTAGTGCCTTTCTGGATACCCGCACTCCACCCCCGTGCTGTTTTGAAAGCGAATTTCCTCGATTCTTCTTGTTTCTTCAGTGTGGTGTCTGGCAATAGTCACCATCTCCCGCTCTCTAAGCAGAAACCAGTGCCACTATAGGTTTGAAATAACATTGAAATGAGTCAGCTTCTTCGCTTGATTTTAAATTCTTCATCTTCTTTGCCTCTAGTCACGTTCCACTTTGGAAGTCTTCTGCGGGAAATTAGTGCAAGCCCCTACCATGAAGACAGTTTTATTGTAAAGTATCCTTTGTATAATATCGGCTGCTCCTTGACCACAATGTCTGCCAAGTTCACTTTACATTTTCTGACGTTTAACAATTTACTTGTTACTTAATAGGTTCCCAGATAAGTGTCTTATTTCAAGAATATGAAACCCGAAATTCCCCAACCCTCTTTATTTTTGCCTATTTAAAATTTTCAGGATATGTTTTTCAGGTCATTTTGCCTGCCACCGAGATCCAAAAGCCCTTCAGAGGATATTTTCAAAGACAGGGTGTCCCCTCATAAACTAAACTGGAACTCTTGGTAGTAGTCATCTGAATGCCATTTATGTGTATGCCACCATTCTTTTAAAGACCAGAACATTTGACATTCATGCATTCATTTGTCCTTCTAAATTTCAGCTTAAAGGTCTGTTATGTAACTAACTTCCTTGAGGAGAAAAGAGAGGCCACAGTCACATTTTCTTATGACGTGAAACACAGAACATGTGTCAGTCATAAAACAAATTGTCACTAAAGGATTCCCCCAACCAGCGAGTGTTCTTTACAATGATAAATTATGTGATTAAGGCATGTTTTTAGATACACTAATTCATTTACTGTCACAACTTTGACACTTTGGTAGCAAGATAAATTTTGTGCAGATTTATCGACTACATGTGATCCGTTGTTCTATGTGCATTGTAATTGCAGAATATTAAAAATATTCATGCATAATATCATTGGAGTTAGCTGCACCAATATGAATTCAGGTTTGATTCTCTCTCTCCCTGTCTCTCTTTCTTTCTCTCTGCATAAAATCAAGAGAAGGATGAATAAAGCACAAAATTTCCCTATGGAAACATTTTCCAATTAAATGAAAATTTACAGAAGAAGATACTGCCAATAAATTTCTTCAAGAAAAAAGAGTTTTAAGTAATTCTTTATGCTTTTAGCTAGTGAATTTTTTGTGTATCAACAACTTTCAATTAAGAAACAAACATGAGGGACAAAGTTTCTTATTTTTAAAAAATGCTACATTCATTTTACAGTATTACTGAAGGATGTTTGTTAACGACCTTATTTACATCCCAAATAGTAACTTTTAAGGTTTGGTTCTTCCTAGATTTTGTTGGGTTCTGAGTTTCCCTCTGATTGTTGCCTCTAGCCCTCTGTGGTGCCTCCTGTCGCCACACGAGGTCTCCATAAATCATGACCTGGGTTAAGTAAGTGGAATCCACTACAGTCAGCATTCAAGTCTCCCCCTGTTATTAAAAGAGGAAATCTCATTGGTGGAAGACTGTATAAATAATTTACATACTTAAAAAACATACAGAAAAAAACCCTCAGTGTTAGATCAAAGCTTTGTGATGTTGGGGCTTATGAGAAACAGGAGTGAGGAGAGAAAATGGTTATAAAAAGGAGGTAGATATTAGTGAGACCTTAGCTATTTTTTTTTAAAAAAGGTGAGCAGTACTAACTGCATGGAGCGATTTTGTAAAACACCATAGAACAATTCTATGGCTTTAACTTGTTTAGTGCTACTATTTTCCAATGCTGTAAAATGTGCTTAGTTTTCTAATTTTTATAATATTTTGGTTGCAAATATGAATATGAAACCCAAATACCATGGAGATTATGACTGGAATAAAGTTTGTCTCATGCTGACTCACTGACAAGCTATTTGATGGGGTACGGCTACGAGCATTTGATATTTTCCCTCTTAACAACAGATAATGCTGTTCTTCAGTGAGGGCCAAGAGCATTGAATACAGAGCAGTAGCTAGGATCTGAACTCTCTGTCTCCAGCCTCGTTGCTTCTCTTTCACCCAAATGTGCACATCCCTTGAAACTCTCAGGTTCAAGGACTCTCTAAATCTTTGAGAAAGGAAACTCCTCCTCAATGAAGTATTCCCCTCTCTCTGTAAACTCCATGGACCTCCCATAATGTGATGAAGCGCTCTAGTTCAAAGCATTACAACTGTCTTGAAACCTAAGCTGTTTAGGCCAAGCTCTTTTGCCTGGAAATGGTTCTGAGTGGTGGTGGTTCTCAGAACATGGTCCCTTCATGAGCAGCATTAGAATCTACAGGAATTGTATTGGAATTGCAAATGGGAAATGTCAGTAACAAAGAAATGTGGAGGCTGGAGGTTAGCAGTCTGCACACTAGCAAGCCCTAAAACTGATTTTGATGCTTGCTAAAGTTCGAGAATGCCTGATTTAGAGCTATGCTGCCACAGTGTGCGAGTCATCTACACATGGAAAAGGAAGAAGCAAGAGTGATAGATAGTCCTGCTAAATAAATGGCCTTCAACTTCTCTCACTCCCATGGTTCGACAGGTGCACACCCCTGACCACCTCTAGAGGGCACCAAAATATTTTCCTCTCCAGCCCCACAGAAACCACAAATGAGTTTCATTTCATTTTCTGGGAACATGGCCTTTAGAATTGGAAAGAGCTTGTTAGCAACCATCCTTAATTTTAATGTCTCAACTAATTAGATAATATTAACATACTATATTTACATGTTTGTACTGTTTATTGCTACCTGTAATGAGAACAGTGGCTCTTAGTTTTCAGAATTCTTATGAAGATTAAGATAATACCTATCAAACAGCCTGAGCTTCATGTAATTGGGTACTTATTAAATAAATGGTTATGTCATAATTCCGTTATCCTGTTAATGTTAATACATAAAAATCTCTGAAATATTTGTGTTAGGAGAATAGATATCTAATCCCATGAACAAATCCTATAATCTTATACTTTGTGGAGGGGAGTTGTTTTGCCCTTTTAAGACAAAGTGTCACTATATAGCCTGAGCTGGTATTGAACACAAAGAGATTCACTTGCCTCTGCTTTCAAGTGCTAGGGTTAAAGGTATGTGTCACCATCTGGCTCTTGAAGTATTTTTTGCTGGGCCTTGGGAGAGGCTTGACTAGAGAGTATCTTGTTGGGAGAGACTAAACAAGTAACCTTTGAATGATGAGGATATGCTCAGCCTTAGGATTCTCTTAACCAATGAATAGAATGAAAGTAATTAGTTTCATGATGTTTACATATCATCATATTTTGAATAGGGAAATTGTTTTTCCACTGTCATAATCAAATAGCTGACTGCATGTGCAATTAAACTAAAAGAAGAAGGGCTAAATGTGCCTGCTATATGGGGACACTTAGAGATCTTCAGATATGCCTCTTGAATTTTCTGATTTCAGCTACCTCATTTGTGATGTCAGGATTAGACCAGTTAAACCATAAATTTCTCCCAGTTATCACAATAGTGTATGTAGGTCTACTGAGAGATGATTCCATCCCAAACACTGTCCTGACTACCTTGTATATATTAGCTCTTCCAATCACACAATACTGATATGACTTATAGATGTTCTTCTTAATTCTAGCTTACCGTGGAAAAAACTGACGTTCACAGGTATCCATTGAATTGTTCACATTTATACAGACAGAAAGCAGAAAGAAATCAGAATTCTAGTTTGATGCCTAAACCCATAGAACAAATTTATTCTACTACTCTGCCTCTGAAATTCTATGATGTGAGTAAAATTTTTCTGACTAGTTCTATATGTAAAGTCAAAAGAATGTATTGTATGGTGGGGAGGGAAAGGAGGAACTATGAGATAGATCAAGCAGCAAATGCCTTTGCTGTGTACACCTGAAACCTTGAGCTTGATT